TGTGTGTGTGTGTGTGTGTGTGTGTGTGTGTGTGTGTGTGTGTGTGTGTGGGGGTTGCTGGAAGATGTTGCCTGCGAGGGTTAACCTGCGGTCACGTGGCCTTAATCAGATGAGGAATGCTGGTGTGAGACCCCCTGTGTCCCACCGATGGATTAATTGTGTCACAACCAACCTCCATAGTCGTACTCTATATGCATTAATGATTGATTATCAGTTATTGACATCTTAAGTCCAGATGCTGACCAGAGGATGCGCTCTATGAGGGCTATTTAAGCACAAAAGAGTACAAGGAATAGCTATTAAAGTAGATTATGTAATTCAGTTAGATGACTTGAGAGGTGTTTTATTCTCGCGCTCACCATCTGTCCGTGTAATGATTGACAAAACCAGTGGAGACATCACGCTGCCCTCGGTGTCAGAGGTTAACACTTGCACTGTTTTCTCCGAGGACGATTCCCCCCGCAGTGTATTGTTGACAGTAGAAGCTTCTGCGATGCGAGCAGCCGAGGGCCACGTTAGGAGAAGCCTAGAAGTCTTTTCTTATCTCGGTGTGTTATTATTAATCACCCGATTGTCACCCAGTGCTCCAGGAAGGAGTGTTTTTTTGTTTCTGTTTGAACCAGATGTGATGCTGTCATTAATGTTCGTAGTATTTTTGATGCATGACATTGCAACAATGATTTCAGAGCCGCAGTGGCAGCTGTTCACATGTTGATGGTGAGGTCAGACATTGTTGGGTGAGCAGCTGTGGCATCAACTGTCAGCGCTGAGGACTTGGTCTGTCGACTGGTGCTGCATTGGGATCGTACTACTAGCTCTCTGAACTTTTAAATGCATGCTCATGCTCAAAATGATTGCTGTCCTTGACCAAAGAAATTCTTAGTCAACACTCGACTTATCTATTTGTTGATTTAACCGTCGGATCTGTAAAACTGAGTTCCTCCACAAAGATTCTCACAGATGTGCTCATAAGTTTCCTTCAGCATGAAACAATCATAAAGACACTAACTGCCTACAGAATAGAGGACTCTGTGTAGTAGTAGTAGATGCCCGAAGCAATCGGAGATATCATCTATCAATTAAAACAGTTATTATGATAATCTGCAGTAGACGAAAATGCTGGTTACAGCTTGCTTCTGAGTTGTCGAGGGCTGAGAGGTCGCAGCTGACGGTGGAGGCCGTTACGTAACCGGCGATCCTCTGTGCTGCCTGCCGTTGGTGTTGACTCCGACACAGAACCGCTGGCACGCGGTTGCCGGCAACGCCACGCCGGCATATTACCCAGAAAGGCCTCATTGGAGAAAGTCTAGAGCTTAGCAGGCTTCTGAATGGTGCCAGTTACTCTGGCCTTTGTCTGCCGCAGAAAAGCGCTTTTTAATTCCCAACCACAGGGGGAACATGCCTCAACAGCCAGCAGACATCGCTTTACCCTTCACTGGCTTTAAAGCTGAGTCCGGTATCTTAATTCTAGAGCAGAGGTCCTCACTTCTTTTTTTTAATTGTCCACAAACCAGGGAACACAAACCGCCACCCTGTCTTATGTCACCACGCCCCATGGTGCCCGGGGAGTCGCTTTTTGACTGGAATGGGAGAAACGACAGCCATTTGCATAAGCTCCTGCACTTATGGAGAGTCAGAATAGTGAGAGGATCGGAGGGAGAGATGTGAAAACAGAGGGGGGGAGTGTGAGAGAGAAATGAGGAGGGAGATGAACAGTTGGAGCTGTAGACGGATGGAGGAGGAGAAAGTGCTGTGGTTTCACATATTTGCTCAAGTAGATTACTCAGGTCTTTTCCCCGGCTTTGCTGCCGGTTTGCTGGTTACGGTCTAATCTCTGTTGACACACACACACACACACACACACACACACACACACACACACACACACGCACACACGCATGCATGCATGCACACAATGCGCTCAGGCTTTGGTTCATGTGCCGGTATGCAAAGTTGGTTCCCTCGGGCTAGCTTTCTTTCTCGCTGCCGCTCACTGCATTCAGTGCTACCTTCTAGCGTCTCTCTCTCTTTTTTTTTTTTTTTAACATCTGTGCTATGAATATCTCTGGAATAACACTGATGTTACCGACACAGTGCATCAGATGTGCCCTCGTGTGGTTTCCACCCCTCCCACCAGCCTGCTTTAAAATACACCCTTTGGCAGTGACGTCACGGGTCGGGGGAGTCGTCGCTGACTGATGGGGCAGTGATGTCGGGCTGCAGATGCAGAACGACCACAGCGGGGAGGGGACCCTCTTTTTTTTAATTTCTATTTTTAAAAACATTGCGGTTGTCAGTGACTCCATGCCACCGAACCGGGACACTCACAGTGAGCCCAAACAAAGCAAGCAGGCAGCCACCCGTCCAGCTTTCTGGAACGGGTGGAGCCCTCGCTGAGACTGTGTTGCTGCTCTGCATAGCAAACAAAAAGTAATTAGTTTCTGTCAAACAGGAGTGCATTTCCTTCCCCTTAAAACATTTGCCAGGCGGAGTCAACACACATCTCTTGTTTCATTCTTATTTAAATGGGGAGCTCAATTGTTCGACAATGAAGTGCATTGATCTGTGAATGCTGGTTACTTTGAGCTTAAACAGATCAGTGGGAATGGGATGTAGTGGTTTTGTAGAGGGCCTAACATGATAATATATATATATATATATATATACACACACACACACACACATAGGGAGAGGCATGTGATCTTCTCATGGGAATTGTTTGTGTAGATGGTTGTTGAGAGTTGGGACAAGGTGACTGTTGTTCAGTTAGGATTCCTGCTTGTACGTCTAGATCATTGTGTGTGTGTGTGTGTGTGTGTGTGTGTGTGTGTGTGTGTGTGTGT